GCGAGAAGGAGTTGAATTTGCAAAAGATTCATATGTATTTGATATTTTTAGAAAATTCTTCACATACCTCATTTACCATGTTCGACACAGTCAATTATTGACTTTGCGTGACTGATTAGTTTAATTCAAATATGTACGTAAATAAACACAGACGGCGAATAAGTTATTTAATCGTGAATCTCATCAAAATTGGTATTATCTAATTGTCAAACTGATATATAATAAAATGCAAATTGGGAAAAATAGTAAATGTATTTGCGCGAGAAGGAGTTGAATTTGCAAAAGATTCATATGTATTTGATATTTTTAGAAAATTCTTCACATACCTCATTTACCATGTTCGACACAGTTAATTATTGACATTGCGCGACTGATTAGTTTAATTCAAATATGTACGTAAATTATCACAGACGGCGAATAAGTCATTTAATCGTGAATCTCATCAAAATTCGTATTATTTAATTGTCAAGCTGATATATAATAAAATGCAAATTGGGAAAAGTAGTAAATGTATTTGCGCGAGAAGGAGTTGAATTTGCAAAAGATTCATAAGTATTTGATATTTTTAGAAAATTCTTCACATACCTCATTTACCATGTTCGACACAGTTAATTATTGACTTTGCGTGACTGATTAGTTTAATTCAAATATGTACGTAAATTATCACAGACGGCGAATAAGTCATTTAATCGTGAATCTCATCAAAATTCGTATTATCTAATTGTCAAGCTGATATATAATAAAATGCAAATTGGGAAAAGTAGTAAATGTATTTGCGTGAGAAGGAGTTGAATTTGCAAAAGGTTCATATGTATTTGATATTTTTAGAAAATTCTTCACATACCTCATTTACCATGTTCGACACAGTTAATTATTGACATTGCGTGACTGATTAGTTTAATTCAAATATGTACGTAAATTATCACAGACGGCGAATAAGTCATTTAATCGTGAATCTCATCAAAATTCGTATTATCTAATTGTCAAGCTGATATATAATAAAATGCAAATTGGGAAAAGTAGTAAATGTATTTGCGCGAGAAGGAGTTGAATTTGCAAAAGATTCATATGTATTTGATATTTTTAGAAAATTCTTCACATACCTCATTTACCATGTTCGACACAGTTAATTATTGACATTGCGCGACTGATTAGTTTAATTCAAATATGTACGTAAATAAACACAGACGGCGAATAAGTTATTTAATCAAGAATCTCATCAAAATTCGTATTATCTAATTGTCAAACTGATATATAATAAAATGCAAATTGGGAAAAGTAGTAAATGTATTTGCGCGAGAAGGAGTTGAATTTGCAAAAGATTCATATGTATTTGATATTTTTAGAAAATTCTTCACATACCTCATTTACCATGTTCGACACAGTCAATTATTGACTTTGCGTGACTGATTAGTTTAATTCAAATATGTACGTAAATAAACACAGACGGCGAATAAGTTATTTAATCGTGAATCTCATCAAAATTCGTATTATCTAATTGTCAAGCTGATATATAATAAAATGCAAATTGGGAAAAGTAGTAAATGTATTTGCGCGAGAAGGAGTTGAATTTGCAAAAGATTCATATGTATTTGATATTTTTAGAAAATTCTTCACATACCTCATTTACCATGTTCGACACAGTCAATTATTGACTTTGCGTGACTGATTAGTTTAATTCAAATATGTACGTAAATAAACACAGACGGCGAATAAGTTATTTAATCGGGAATCTCATCAAAATTGGTATTATCTAATTGTCAAACTGATATATAATAAAATGCAAATTGGGAAAAATAGTAAATGTATTTGCGCGAGAAGAAGTTGAATTTGCAAAAGATTCATAAGTATTTGATATTTTTAGAAAATTCTTCACATACCTCATTTACCATGTTCGACACAGTTAATTATTGACATTGCGCGACTGATTAGTTTAATTCAAATATGTACGTAAATAAACACAGACGGCGAATAAGTTATTTAATCGTGAATCTCATCAAAATTCATATTATCTAATTGTCGAGCTGGTATATATTGATAATAAAATGCAAATTGAAGAAAGTAGTAAATGTATTTGCGCAAGAAGGAGTTGGATCTATCAGGCCGCGTATAAAATTACAAAGTTCTCGCAAAGTGAAGCCAAAATTTCGCAGCACCACACGCACGCGTTAACGTCCGTAGATGAGTTATTACGGTGAATAACATTATAGAGCGAGTTCGCCGAGTATTATTTCCATACGTAAGTACGTATCTCGTACCTCTCGCGCTTCGTATATACCGTAAGATATAATGATATTATTACGAGCTCCTAAAAGAGGGGAGAACATACATATATACTTATATATACATACACGAATTAAAGTCGAACACGCGACGGAGCCATTCAAGCGCGTATTCGTCGGCCGCGAGAACAACCGCGCGCAATTGTGCGTTTTTACGACACAATAGAATTGCGTCCAGCATGCGCATACCTTCGCGATACATCGCGCACACAGAGCGGAGAAATTTCGAAATTATTGTTTGACATTCTAATGGGACGTGTACCGCGGAGGTATTTAATTAAACGAACATTATAATGAAGAGAGTGGGCGCGATGAGTCTGTCGAGCTATTTTGCTTCGTCGTTCCTGACCGACGTTGCTGGCCGTGTCGCGTCACTTTAACGTTCTCCACCGAAAAGAGAGTATACGTCCATTTGCTTTACACTTCGTGGTAATGCCTCCGATGTGTGTGTATGTACCTATCCCCTTCCCTACGCCTTTCTATTCATACTTGGAACCCTCCCTCCCGACACATTGTACGTACATAAAACATCACGCCTGAAATTAACGCACCGGAATGCGAGAAATTGTCGTGTTTCCGATGTCGGTATGTGATAATGATAACGTTGACCGGCCTCATTAATAGGTCTAATCAAGCTTAATGGTCGCGTATATATGTTGTAAATTGAAGGTATAATGAGAAATGACAATTGGATAAATAAACGGAAGTTTTTGATTAAGTTTTGAAAATTTAATCTTTCACCCCGGATGACAGAAGGTAATGAATATGTGCCCCAGAGAGGTTCGCATATTGGCGGTTGCGCGTATATCGAAAATCGCAACGATACCGCAAGAATTTATGTACTCGTGATTCCGGATTAGAGAGATACATAGATGTGTACTATACACTTAGGTATACGTACATGTGCTTAATGCGCGAGCGCGAGCGCAAACATTATGCAGCTTTACGTACATTTCACGGGACAAAGTTGCTTTTTGTCAAATAAAACAACCCTTCAAAGTAAATAAATCATAATTCCCTCATATTTCGCATTTAAAATGTGCGCCTAAAGAAAATTGAATTTTCTTCTTATATTATGTTTCAGTTAAATTATATAGATATTTTCTAACGATATATACAGAGAATAAATCTTTCCATACCTTACTTTTCTAAAAAACATAAATTTTATATATCTCTCGAAAGGATATAAAAAAAGTTAATATAAAATTGCATAATGCAATCTATAAATCTACCTTTTTTAACATCCATCCATTCATACAGGATCTGTGATTTCTCGTTAACGATAAAGACAAAAGTTACAAAGGCAGTTTATATTCGCCAGTTACAAAAGCGTGTGGTCGATAAGCACGATTCGTATAAATATTAGATATATCGGGCGCATTTAAAGGCTCCCGGCAGCAATTGCTATGCTTGTGTCGAGGTACGATCGACCCATGCGTTTCCGCTGGATTAATTGCCCCTAAACGGGGCTAGACTGGGGGCGATAGGGTAGCTCGCGGGGTGAGCGAGCTCGGGGCGCGATTAAATCACGCTCGTTAAATCGAAGCGGACGGCGCGAGTGCTGCAAAAATTGGTAGCTCGTTTATCCCGGCCGACTCTAAAATCGGCACTGTATGACGGAGGGACGAGCGATGAAAAATTAATAAGCCCGCTGGCTGCGCCACAGTCCGGTGTACCAAAAAGAACGCAGAAGTAGCGAATGTCCTGCTCCTGCGAGTTCGATGCATCGAATATATTTTTCCTTGCTCTTTTTTACGCGTCTGACCGCGACGAAATTAAACGCGAGCGAATGCCGTCTCTGTCATTCGATCCGAATAAGTAAATTAAATCCAGCGCGAGAAATTCTTTATTGATCGTCACCTTCGGTATTCGACATTCGTCTGCGACATCTGTATTAAAATTAATCCACGTATCCGCGACTCATGGGAATTTCCAGCGAGTTTTGTGCGCAACGTCCCGATGGCATTAATTATAAATTCTGACATATAACATATATATAAGCCTTCTTCTGCCCTTTTGCATAATAAATTCATTTAAATTTCAATCCCTCTCTTTTTCTCTCTATTTCTTTCTTTTTTATTCTTTCTTTGGTCGAATCTAAAAATAATTAATTTATAGCTGAGCGCTCGGAATTTCGTTATATCATCCCAAGAAGCTTTCCATTCATTTTCCGGAAAATCAATTTTTTTTGTTCCGTCGATGGCGGAACAAGTGAATAATTTTCGACTAGATTCCTGATGAAGTGGCGAGCTCGATAACAAATTGGCGGACTTGGTCGCGGGATTCGCCCGATAGGAAATTTTTAATGAAAGTTACTAGGAAGGATACGAAAGTTACAGAGGAGCCAACGAAGCGAGAAGAGTCCCCGGTAATCTCTGACATCTTGTTACAGCTTGGCGTAAGAAAAGCGGAAGAGAGAGAGAGAGAGAGGGAACTGAGCGAACGGCCGCGAAGTAACGCGACCTCCTCTCGTTCAATTAAAGCGTCAGCGTCCGCGGAAAACTTTTATATGAATGGTTTTCATTACGTCGCGGACTTATTAAGGGCGTCTTCGCGCGGAGCATTAATATCCTCGTCGCAACGAGTTTTGTTATCAAGCGCGACCATTCAGGCCGCGGTGGAGCACCAGGATACACACACATAAAAGCACGGCACTATTTTAACATCAGCGAACTTAGGACTGAAATGTACAAAATCCAAGATTCTTTTGATACATACCATGCGCTGCTCGTAGCTCGTTCCAATTAGAGGATTTTTGGTTCCCGAATAAAGTGAAAGCCTCGTTGTTCGCTCTCGTACGTTGGTCAATTAATTCGATCTGAAAAGGAAAAAAGCATATTGTGATACAAAACTTTTTATTATATTACCTGCAGAATTTTTCTATTACATCGAATGGAAATATGCCGCTACTGTTGCGTTATATTGCATCGGCCGAAATATTCCGTTCAGACTGAAAGACGGAAATAATTCGTTTGGTATCTGTGCGGGATATTAAAAGACCGGCAACCCACACAATAGTCGCACAGGTAATTCGCTATTCGAAGTCATGCGGCGCGCAAAAAAAATGTATTCTTGCGTGATGATGTATGCATCACGCGCGTAATCGTACGGTCGGTTACACGAGCACATCGCCCGCCACGTTCGGCTAAACCGATGATAAAACAAATCGTGACAAATTGCCAGCGAGATGTGGCAGTCTCGCAGCACGCAATTGCATCGGGGACGCGCGGCTTCACAGAGTTAAAGAGTGAAAAAAAAACGCGACAGGGAAACGCGTCGGAATTGCGTCGAATGGATATATTGCGCCCGATTTAACATAAATAAATATTTATTTATCGCATTTATTAATTATATCTAGCATTATATATTTTTAATAATAAAATGTAAAATATGCAAAATCACGAGCACAGAACGAAACTCCGCTCGTTTCAAAATGATACACTTTGCATAAACATATTACATTTTTATGTACACGTGCTATTTAAGTAAGGACAATTATAAAGATGATGTAGCAATCTTCCTCTCTCTTCCCTTCCACCGCATTCAACGAAAAAAAAAATGCAAAGAGGACAGACACCGGAATTATGCCTGCGCGACACGCGAAAATAATTCCTGTGGCGAGTCTCTTCCTGATTTCGCAGAGTGCAGTCTCCGCGAACTTTCCGGCTGTGATGAAAAATTGCGCTTGCGCATGTTCCATCTTCTAAGTACGTCCGAGAAGCTGATTCTCCAACACCAACACAGGCGCAATGTGCATGTTTCTCGCCACAGTTTGTCGTCACAGACTTTTGCAATCTCGCATTCGTAAGGAAGATAGAAAGAAGAGTTTGACGATGAGGAGAAAGAGAAGAAGAAAGAGATTTAGATAATAAAGATGGAAAAAAGAAATTGTACTAATAAAAGAAATAAAAATGTCAAGTAACACGTGAAAAATGTATGTTCTCAATAATAATAATAATAATAATAATAATAATAATACTATGTATTGCGCAAAGGAACAATTATAAAATATAAATACATTTCTCTCTGTCTCTCTTCCTTTCATGGTATTCCTTTCATATGGCCAGCGAGGTGAAAGGCAAACCTTCGAGCTCGCGGAAATGGACCACTGAGTGGGCTCCGCATTAATGCATCACTAAGTAATTCGTGGTAATGAGCGAGTGGTTGCTGGCAAGTATCTGGTAAGTATACGGAAGCGAGTAACGAATACGAGTCCTTTGCCATTCGACTTCCTTTCCGCGGTACTCGAGTGTAAAATGATAGCCTTGAGTTATCTCTGCTTTCATGGAAATATTCTTACAGTCAATTACACAGTTGCTTTTATCCATGTATATTCATTATCATTTCTACGAAAACAAAATTTCGTATGCTTATCCTGTTGCAAATTGAACGCAAGATATCTTAACGCAAGTAATACATTTTGTGCCGAGAATATGGGAGAAGGTTTTCACTAAGAAGTAAAACATAGATTCGACAAGACTATTAAAGAGCAACAATGTGTGTCTTGATTGTTTGTCGACGAAAATGTACGGCGTTTTAGTCATATATCTAACGTAGACAAGGTTGTATGGCAGTTAACTTCCTGTTAATTAAACGTTAGATGCTCCGGAAGGTCTTCGTTGACGAGAACCCAAATAGGAAAATGCGTATGTTGTATCAAAAGTAAATTTAACAAGAAATGAAATTGAAGAAGGATTGAAAATTCGTTTGTCAAATCTACGGAATAGGCGATGTCAATTTTTTTCTCGTAATAGCTCTTCATTTTTTTTATTCGTATCGCAAAAGATGAAGCTGTCGGAACATTATTACGAAATTGCAACACATCAAGCTCTCCCTTTTAAAGCTCTCATTAGTTTATAAAAAACGTAAATGTCAACTAGATTAAAAGGTTGCGCGAGCTCTTTAAAAATTGAAATAAAACTGGAAAAAAATAAGCAAATTCATTTCTTATAGAATATAAAATATACATCTGCTGTACGAGCAATCCCACACATGCCTCTTATTACGCGTTCTCGTTTCCCTTTACTTTCTATGTGCCGGGCTAGCAATGCGCAAATTCGTGCCGCAATTTCGCCGTAATTTAATTTAACCTGGCATCGTCCGAGCAAACTTTCTCGCTTCCTAAATCCCCCGAGTAGGAGCTCTCTCTCTCTCTCTCTCTCTCTCTCGCGTCGGGTTAAAGCGGGCACAAGCCGGATGGATTTTTATCGTCCTCTCCTCCCTCTCTCTCTTATACACCCCGCTCTCTGTCACGCTCTAATTTACAGGCTGATTTTTGGCGAAATTGTGAAATTGGAGTTGGCAAACGCACGAGGAGAAAGATGCGATTGCGCGAGGCGGAAGCTTCATTTCGGATTTCAGAGCAAACATATTTGCTGGATTCAATTAGAGTGTAAACTACTTCCCGGGTTGAAACCTCAATATAAATTCTAGCCGGTTACGCGATAAACCTGTATTATTATTGTTATTATTATTGTTAGGCGAATGTATTATTGTATGATGTAGTGTTTCATTCTAGAACATCATGAAACATAGTTTATTCGATCCTTCCGCGAAACACGATCCTAAAATACTACCGAGAGAAAGGTATTACGGAAAAATGATTTGTATATATGTACAAATCGTATTTTTGACGCCGGTTATTCTTGACATTCCGCGTTACTGGTTTCAGCGCTCCATATTTTTCTGTGTATTACATATATCGCAGTGTCTCGTTGAATTGTTTGATAGCGGATTTGCGGAGCTCTCTCAGTCGTATTCGCGCACGATCCTAGTAATTTGTCGCAGCGATGCATTCAACGCTGCGGATCGAAAGGATTAAGAGCATCTATCGATGTACAAACGGAAGCGTGAATAGCGTGTAGTGTTAGCAATGTGCGATCTTTTCTGTCATCATCAATAAGCTGCGATCGATAAATCAAACATCGCGCAATAGCAATGGAGTGGAACAACATTCATTTTTACAAGTATGCACGTCTATTAAGAACTCAATAACGAGTGTATTATTCTTTTTTGAACGTTATTTCTAAACTGATCATCCTCCTATTCACAAGTAATAACATATGTATACATAATTAATTCACATATTATAAGAACCTTTCAGCTTCTCTTATTCCAGAACGGATATTGATTCAACGACGATTATTATTATCACTTATATTATATCTATAGAAATACTGATTATTGATTATTATATCAGTTACGTCAGGAATATGGATCAAATAACATTTGTGATTCGAGATAGTAAATTCAAAACGGATGCCGGATCAGTGCAATGTCGATGTCACTCGAAAAAGAAGCAATTATCTCGAAATAATGAATATGCATCGGCAAGAGAAATATAAATAACAATTATATAATATATACCTATAATTAAATAATGTTTTATTCAATATATTTTCGTTTATTTAAATATTAAAATGTTAACAATTTTTCAATATTTTGAAAATGTATAATTGTGTATGTTTGTATTTGAAATATTTGCAAAAAGAAGGCATAATGGTATATTTTTTTCATAACATTTAAATTTTTTCAATATTTTGAAGTTTAATAAAAAAACGAATATTAAAATTTTATGAAATATTTTGATTATTAATGATTACATCGCACGGATTTACAGGACGGATTCGTTTCGTATTTTCATCATATTGGAAATGTCGTTTCTTGTCTCTTCCGTACGATTACACTAAAGGTATTCGCGTCGCGCGATTTTATAGGTGATACATCGAAAGCACATGAAAGCAGGATGAATATTTCGATATGCATCGAGAAAATGCACGCACGAAGTGGCAGGATAAAACAACGAATGAATCAAATCCCTTTTAGAATTTTATAGAGTGTGATTTTTTCTCGATTTTTCAAATCGACAAAAGTGTTTTCTGAAAAAGTAATAGAGAGACTAAATTTACAGATAACTTTATAGATGTACAAAATATAGACTACGCATATTGAACAAATGCTACGCTAAAATTAGAAAAAGAAACAAAGCTTTATATATGCGTAATCTATATTTTTCTACATCTATGGAAATAACGAAACGAAAATTTTGCACAAACATCGTACACGTTCTGTGTTTAAATAACTCAAAAGAATTATATTTTTCGTGTCATTTAACACGCGTTATGTATACATGTTAAAATTAAAGTATTTTTTCAGATTAATAAAAAATTCGAAGGATGCGATATGCATTTATCCGTATATCTAAAAATTACGCTGAAAAGTCAAGTTAAGAGTGAGTAATTAAATGATAAATCGTTAAATGAACTTTTCCGTCGAATGTTATGTTTCTTCACAATTTGCGCAAACGCTTCGAAAGTTTCCCCGGTGTAGAATTACGTCGGCGGAATTAACATTCGTCCGATAGACGACAATTTGTCTTTGCGCCATTAAAATTCTCGGAGGAGTTCCCAGAAGGAGTTTCCAGTTGAAACATCCTCCAACAACCGGGCTGAAGAGTAGAGTCAAGTCCTCGAAATGTCGCAAAAAGTTGGCCGATGTTAATGGGTTGGTACGATTACGTGAACCGCAAAGCAGCACGAGAGTAGCCGTGCCGGGAACGGCAAAGAACAAAGTACCGTTATTCCTTACGCCAAGATGCGGCGGCAGCAGCAGCAGCCGCGATACTCTCCTGGAGCATCCATGCCACCGTGGACGAACTTCTCGTCGTTGAATTATGCATGATTTCCTGCCCTCGGCCGCTAACCATCCGCGTCACCGCCACTTTCGCCGCGCCTTATTTAATAATCGCGACGAGATCTCCAGTATTAGAGAAAGGCACCGCGGTGCCGAGAGTGAAGGAGCTTACATGAGCTCGGTACT